GTGGGGAAATATGGCATCGGCTGTAGAAATACCAGAGGGGAGTTATGAGTAGAGTTCGCAGAACGTAATAGTTTACGGATTAAGAATACCTTCCTCAGAAAACAGGCTAACTGTACATGGACGTGGCGAAGCCCCAATGGCGAGACAAAAAGTGAAATTTACTTCATTCTGTGTGCACATCTAAGCATTGTACGGGGTGTAGAAGTAGTTGGCAAGATTAGATGCAGTGACCATAAAATGGTAAGAGCTCATAATCACCAAGATTTAAAAAAAATAAAAACAAAAACTAGTACGCAAGAAGCCAATAATGAACAGGCGGTGAGAGGAAAAATACAGGAATTACAAGTTTCGCTTCAGAATCGATTCGAAGCACTAAATGAGATAACCGATGTTAGCGTTGACGCAACGAATGATAATCTTACTAGTACAATCAAAGAGTGTGCAATTGAAGTTGAAAGTTCAGTCACTAGACGAGAAACTGGCAAACTGTCTCAGGATACGAAAAATTTTATTAAGAGACGACAAACGATGAAAGCTTCAAATGCAACTTACCATAGAGTTAGCGGAGCTTTCGAAGTTAATCAATAGGCGTAAATTAGCCGACAACAGGAGGTATAACATAGAAATAATTGAGCAGGCTGTAAAAAGCGGCAGATGTCTAGAAGCTGTGAAGGCAGACTTGTGCATAGGCAAAAATGGAATGTACGCCTTGAGAAACACAAGGAAGACAATGACATAATCAATATGGATAGAATAGTCGAGATGACAGAGGAGTTCTACAGAGAGCTGTACAGAAGTCAAAAGAACCAGGATTATATTGTGAGAAACTATAATTGTCCGAAAGAATTCAACATCCTACCAGTAATGACAGGGGAAGTAAGGAAAGCCCTAGAAGGAATGCAAAGAGGCAAAACCGCTGGTGAGGAAAAAGTAACAGCGGACATCCTGAAAGATGTCGGAAAAATTGTGCTAGAAAAATTAGCCACGCTATATACAAAAAGACTCGTGACGGGAAGGGTACCAGAATCTTGGAAGAACACCAACATCATCTTAATCTATAAGAAAGGAGACGTGAAGGACTTGAAAAATTACAGGCCGGTCAGCTTACTCTTCATTCTCTACAAACTATTCATAACAATATTAGCTAATAGAATTAATACAATATTAGAGTTCAATCAACCAAAGGACGGAACAGGATTTCGTACCGGCTACTCCACAATAGACCATATTCATACTATCAATCAGGTAATAGAGAAATGCGCTGAATACAACCAACCCCTATATATACGAGGGGAGATTGCAGTTAACAAAAGCATCGCGCCAGCGTTAATACAGATCACAACTTGGAGAAGCGTTTTTTCTTACATCATCCGAGTCACATCAAGGGTGTGAAGACCGCAGATGGCTGGGGACTGTATCTGGGGGGCCACCGATGGCAAAAAAAAATCACAAGGCGTCAAGGGTGGGCATGCGGCCGCCATAGTTCCGCTCAACCATTGTTACACGAAAAATAGCGACAAACTTCACAGGAGTACAGTTGATATAAGTACAAACTTGTAGTATGCGCGTGGCTTATAAATGCGTTGTGCTTCTAATCAGCCAAGCCATTTCAAATATGCTGCTTTATCTTTAAATTCGAGGCTCTCGTTTACTATTCGTTGAGGTTTGAAAAATAGCGCTAGCAGAAAACGTGCTCTATTTTCTGTAAAAGACGTAATTACATTCTCAGTCTATTTGGGGCAAAAGGTGCCCAATTCCATTAGCATTCTATTACTCCCAGCATTGTGCCCGTTCCATTCAGGGGCTGCAAAAATGTGGAATGATTCCCATTCTGATTCCCCAGTGGCAACTCCGCAACACTGACTCCAGGAACTCGCGCTGAAACTGAACGTTCGCAACACTGACAGATCTACGGGCACGTCGCTATTGCGGAGAGCAACACCGTTTCGGGAAGCGTCGGCGATTTCAAAACCCTTGAGATGCCATAAAACACGAGCTATGGTGTCTGTAAATACCAATAAGAGGTAAAAAAAAATGTTTCAAGCCACGTACTTCTGCTGCGCGTATTCATGCAAACAGAAAAGCCAGTACGCAAAGGTATAGTTCCAAGTAATTGCGCAAAAATGCAGGCCTTTCTTTTTCACTCTGTAGCCGCTCGAGCAAGAAGTGAATACTCAGTTGGTTCAGTCGCGCCACACCATTTATATTGTAGCATAGGCAGAACTCCGAAACTCCGCCCGTAGTTTCATACAGACACAGCAGGAGACACCGCCAGGGTCACCACGGTTTCGGAGATGCTGGCGAGGTGCCCTAGAAATTTGGGAATACTGCACCTAAAGGCACGCAGTTCTTTTGGGCCTGCCGTCGCCAAATGGAAAAGGCTTGGGCGTGTTTGTTATTCATCGTTGTTCATCAAGCAGAGCGCACAAAACACGGGACAGAAAGGGATAAAGACAAGCGTTCACTATCAACTGAAGCGAAATTGGAGAATCGGAGCATATATACACACCCATTGAAGCCACGATAGAGAGAAGAATAGACGAAAAAAATTAGAACGAAAAAGAACATGTTTGTATGCCAAGAATTTGTGTTCTTTTAAAGATAACATGATGGGCTGGATACTGACACACCTGTTACCTGCCGTCGCTATCTACGCCGTCTCTACGATTTCTCTACAGTCGTCTGTATCTAATTGAACAATGGAGCACACTTGCCTTGCGTCACACTTTTTACAATGGTCGACAAGGTGCCCGTCAATCGAAGTGTCCCCAATTTTGTTGTTATGCCCCTGCAGGCGAACGTTGAGGCATCTGCCAGTCTGGCCTAGGTAATGCCTGCCACATTAAAGAATTCCATACACTACACCTCTTGTACTGGAAACGTGGCATGTACAGGAAAGTCGGCTGGAAGTGTGTCCTTATCTCTTTCTATCCCGTGTTTTGTGCGCTCTGTTTTATGAAGAGCCTTCATGCAACCACTCCATATTTCCGGCTTAGTCGACAACAATGTGGCCCAAAAATAGCCACATAGCCAAAAAGAAAAGTTCGATGCTAACTCAAGCACATAGTAGCATGATTGGGCAATCAATAGCCTAATCTGGTGTGTGTGTGTGTGTGTGTGTGTGTGTGTGTGTGTGTGTGTGTGTGTGTGTGTGTGTGTGTGTGTGTGTGTGTGTGTGTGTGTGTGTGTGTGTGTGTGTTTAAGCGGGGGAGGAGCCAATTGATCGGAGCCAATTTTGAAATAAATTTGAATAAGTATAGGCAGTGCGCATTCTCAGGCTAACTGTGCGAGCTTCTGCACCGAATGTTAGCAGTCCCCAATCGTTGGTTTCCTGAAGTGACGCCACCAACTGCCGATAGTATACTGTCTGCTTTATTCTCATGGCTACCGCGGCCCTCAGTGACTTCCTGTTTCTAGTGCCTTCGGCCAGCATTAAAAATAACTACGTAGTACCGCAGCCTGGTCAATGAGCGTGCAGCGCCTTCGTCCTCATCAATCATCATCACCATTTTTTTTTAGTCGCAGCATGGCGCGCCTCAAGCTCCGAGCACGAGCAGCGCGAGAGGCGCAACGCTGCGACTAAGAAATGGTGATGACTGATGAAGATGGAGGCGGTACAAGCGCCTCTTGTTCCTAAGAACTTAAATGCAGAGGCCATGAGACAAAGGCTGCAATAGGGCACCAGTATTGTAAACTTTCTCACGAAAGTTATTTACTGAGGTGTCTATCTCCTATTATCGGCTGTAGATAATCAGCTGCAGGCGTGCGCGACTCCCCCCCCCCCCCCCGTATTTCCAAATTTTCGTATCCGCGCGATGAAATGGGCAAATTTGCCACGACACTCAATGCGTTGGCTGAAAGTAGGAGAATTTTAACAAAATAACAATGTCCCAATGAAAACGCGAAGTTTACCCTGTACCTGCATGCTCAAAACAAAAACGGAACAGGCCCAAAGTGACCTAGCATGCATGCATACACGGCCCCAGTGCCAGAACGGGCAGATCCACGATCGCGGCTGGAATGATTAATACTATCTGCAGCCAAGATGGCTTGATTGTGTACGTGCCTGAGAGTAGTTTGCCACAGTTACCACTGAGAAACTCTTGAGGGGTCATAGTTTATTCACGTGAACAGCAGAAGCTAATCGCCAAGAAGGGGGGGGGGGGCACTGTCGTGAGAAAATCAACTGAATATGGGTGTCACAGCGGACACATTGCATCATGGGCTGGGCATTGTATTTCTCTGCCACAATCGGCGTTTCTTTTTGCAAGCTGCTGTATCGCGTAGTGAAATTCAGCCCCGATCACGATCAACAACATATATAGGAACGGGAGATCGGTGACCACGGATGCCATAGGAAGAGGAGAAAAAAAAACCCACTCTAAAAACATTTTGTGACGACACTGTAGGTGATGAATAGTAAGCTGCTGCAATGAAAGAGTCGGCACATAAAATTTCCCGGCTGCCACAAAGACACACTGTGTTGCGAAACTGATGTTACAAGTGAGAACAGAAACATGGTTGCACATTGTGTGAGTCAAACGCGCAACTCCTCAATGTCAAGAGTATTCGCGCATTTCACTCATTGAAAACAGATTTCTTTATCGCTTTTTTTTTAAATCTCAAAACAATGATAAACAGCAGTATCAGTGATGTGAAACGTGAAATAGCACGCTTTCTACGATTCTGTATCTACATCTCTCCATCTATTTGCGTCTTTGTAATCAGCTTTTGTTTGAGTGACTCTCTGAGCCCCGTGTTCCTCCTCAACAAAGAACGCAGCTCGGCGCTATGCCTAACCCATGGAGGTCTCGTATTGTAGTTCACGAGAGGCCAACCACAACTAAAATATTATTCTACTAAAGTTCAGGTGATTGCATTCTCTCTTCTGATCAAATACATCAATGATGACACACTGTCGAGAGCTGGTGCATTGAGAACCAGCTCTCGCGCGGGAAACCACCGGCACATGCAGACAATTACCACAGCCAAGTACTCACTCTTTAAAGCCCACGTCTTGAGTTGGCGAATGGCGAGGAACATCTTGAAGTACGCCGCTTGACATTCCGTTGAGATCTCAGCCTCCGATCCCAGACGCACCAGTCTGGGAAACATTGCCTTGAAAAAAGACTCGATGCCCGCCTTGAGTCGTTCCTCCTGGTCCTTCCATGCACGTCGAGCCAGGTCAATCTCCGTCTCATTGTTCTCGTCGTCCCGACGTGAATTACCTCCAGCGAGCATCGTCTCTTCGCCTTTGATGTCCTCGGTCCGAAGATTTTCGGGCGCCGATGACAGCGACGAGTCGGCTCCACATTTTTGGACCCAGAGCGAGAAACACAATAGAAGCGTCACCCAGACTGCCAGCACAGTGAGGCAGCAGCAGGCTTTCGGACCCATAATTCTCCACGTCATTGGGAACGGTCGGTCTATCTAGCCCCTGCGAAGGACGCCGAGTTAAGACACTAAAACGTTTGATTGAGCTGTGCTCACGTACCGCGAGGCCCTCTGATACGAGAGCTCTTATTTTCCCGACAGACGTCGTGACTAATTCCGCAAATCGGAGCAAATCTTGAGCCGAACGCGAGAGCAGCCCGACGCTCCAGCTGGTCTCGACCGGAGTCTCTCGAGGAGTGCGGATCTAGCCGGCGGGTGGGCAGAGCACGGATGAAGGATGTCGGAGAGACTTGTCGGGAGGAGCCGGATCGCTCTTGTGTGGCGCCAAAGGCTTTCTCTCCTTTTTGGACGCGCGCACGACGAGGAGTGGCACACCCTTTCCACAGGCCGACACAGTTTTTCTGGCCGGCGGGGAAGCGAGCCATCAAGCCGACAGCGCGTAGCCGATAGGTTGCGGTGGGGGAGGAGGAGATGACGGTGAACACGTTGCTACCCCGTGGTCCACTAGTGCATGCAAGGGAGAATGTATTAGACAGCGCCGCGTGCGAAATTACTAAACGCCAAGTATGCCACACCGATGAATACAATGCCAGAGTATTGTGTCAAATGAAAACACGTACTTGCTACACGCGGCTCTTGTTTCGCGCGAAATTGCCCCGTAACATCGATGGTGCCAAGGACACAACCGCTGTCTTCGTGACCTAAAGGCCTTTGACACATGAGCGACCGTCCCAAGCGCTAAGAACAAAACGCTTGCTTTACGAGCCGAGAGGGTGTCGCTTCTGCGATCCGATATCGGCCTCCGTCAGCATAAAATTCGTCTCGTGGTTCCCCAGCAATCATGCTGATAAAAGAATCATTAATTCTGCTGTGTACTCCTTCAGCGCCTGTGACCAGTTGTTTTATTTTTGATAAACTATAACCCACGCGTAATGAAAGAACTTCAGGCATACAAACAGCCACAGCAACTATGAAAGCGCTTCTAGGTAACGCTCTTCCTTCAAGCCACCGGCGCGCGGTGATGCGGCACGTATGCATGCTACATATTGGTCAATGTATTGATGAGTGCAAGTTTTCCATCAGTTTTTCGCAGAAGATGAAGCCTTCGTGTGCCTATATGCAAATAAGTTCTGTTGTGCAATCTGGGTATTTTCGCCAAGCAATTCATCAGTCGCTACCGGCAGACAAAAACAAAAAAGTAGCATCACATTCGGTATAGCTGCAGGTTTCCAAGGACTATTTGTACATCCCGGGTGATGAGAGAGAAACTTGATTACTTAATGTGAAGCAAGATGTTTGTGCAACTTTATCAAGTATGGCTGTGGTTGCCTCCTTGCATACAGAGGGATGCTAGGAATGTGTGCATAAGTGCAAATGCCTCCACTCAAATATGAATGGCTAAGAACATTCTTGCTGAAACACGTTCACAACGTTTCAATCATTGCATACGAAAAACTTCGAAGGTCGAAGCTACGTGATCACGTGACGACACCTTGACAACGTTCGTGATAGAAAGCTTAACAAACGATTGAAGTTATGCAGCTTGTAGAAAGTCTAATTGCACTCTGTAGTTACAGATATCTTGGCGCTGCTTCCTAAATCGGCTCCAGTGAATGCTAGACCGTCTTAGCAAGAGCCCCCGGATGTGTCGAATGCCACACCACGTGGTGCACATCAGTGCTGGTCTCATACACATGGGTCGTGTAAAATAGTCTTCGACCCTTTTATCACTGTTTTTTTTCTTCTTCATTTGTCAATCAAGGCTTCACAAGAAAAAAATAAGAGTGACGTTCTCAAGGTGATGCGTAATACTTCCAAAGACGTTACAAAACCAGATTTAATTTCACTGCGCAGGCGAATACGTCCTTCAGTCGTGCCTAAAATAGCAGAAGTTGTGTTGGCTCTGAACTTGGCAAAAGAAACCCCAATGGTCTCACTGAAACAAACCCGTCACCCGTAGTCGAATACACTGGTGTTTTTGGGTGATTCTAGAAAGAGGAAGAAGGCACCTAATTTCTGCCAGCCCCTGGGGCGACACGGCGCAGTGCCTATCAGCTGAACAGGCAAGCTTCGTCGTGCGCGGGGCTTTTCAATAGCGGAAAGGAAAAAGAAAAAAATTGAAAAAGGAAGACCACATTGGAACCACTTCAGCACTCACAAACGTTGTTTTCCCTTTTCTCTCTCTTTTTTTCTTTCTCGTGTTCTCTCGTTTCTGTTGAAGCCAGGTATCAACCTGAACAGTTCATTTCCAACATGCATCTACCCTCGCAGGTCGTGGAAATGAGGCGGCCTTCGTGAAGGCAATCATGCTAGACGTCGTAAGCTACAGGAATGTCGAAGACCGCTAGACTCACTCCAAGAATGCTGCTTCAAACCGTGCTCACCCAGCAACAGAAGGCAGCCATGTTGGCAGAAAGGAAGATGTGTGCCTGAGGGTGAGAAGGAGACGGGAGTTCTTCGTGGTTAAGCTCCTGCCGTGCTTTTCTTCTGAACTATTGGCATTTGCCCTCTGTAGAAAAGAAATTATACCCTCACCTTTTTTTTTTATTATGCTAGTCTTCCATCTCCACGCTACACATCCGTGTCGCATGAGTCACGGCATGTACAAACGAAACCAGGAAACAATCAGACAACAGCGACATCACCGGCCATGTATGTATGCGACAAGGCATTGACAAGAGCGGCGGAAAGAGCGACCGCAGAAAGGGACACACAAACTAAAGAGCACTAACTGCAGGCTAGACTTATTGTACCCAAAGGTAGCATTACAGAAACTATACTGCGGACCAGGCCGGACAATTACCCGCAGAATAAAAGGTTGAATGGGTCTCGAACCGTAGGGCCAATTTTCTCATTAAAAACTAACAAGCTAAACTTGACTGGCGAGTCCTTTCTTCTTATAACTAGAATGACGCACATTCCAACGCACTCATCTCTCACTCTCTCTCTTCCGCATCTCATAGCGCAGCCATGCTCGCTGAGCCGCGCTCCCTACATGTACTGCGCTCCTCAGCTCATCCACGTGTCCAATAATCCCCTTGGGTACTGCTAGTGTCTGTACCTTTTTGCCTTTTCACGAGACTTGAAAGAGCGCCTCCCAAGAAACTGCTGAGACATGGCCGCTGGCCCCTACACATTTGTCACAGCCGAGGTGCATACCACCTGCACTCTACCCCAACTCGACGCCACCACCCACCCATCTCCCCAAGTCTTGCAGGTGCGTCTTGTACGTGGCTCCCCAGCTCCAGCCCACAACACTAGGAAAGCCACTTGTCATTGTCCGTTGGGCGCTGGACGACAGCGGCCTCTTCGAATTCACGCAGAGGAAAATTCTTGACCGGGTTTAAATGCCAATGTTCAAGCCCGCATCGAATCCGAATGCGTGCCTAAAACGTTCCCGAATTTTGCGTAAGTTAACTAATATAAAACGTGAAAATGACAGACGTCTGTGCGTGAGAGGGTAAAAATTGACGGCTAACATATAAATTCTAGAAGGTGATTAGAAAGTGGCCCGCAATGTCGAAAACGCATTTCATTGCTTGTTAGCAATTCATGAAGCAGTTTCTCCCATTATTTTATTGCACAAGAATAATACTAGTACTTCTGTCCTCGTTTCTAATAAATACATTTCTTCAGGTCTTTGTTTTTTTAGACCACATTGTAATCTTCAGAAATCGCTGTTGGAGGCAGCATAATTCCTACCATCGAGTTGGACCTCACTTAAAAGAGACAAATGCGAAATGTATAATAGACAAACTTAAAGTAATATTTGTGCTTTTAAATATTGTGATAATAATTTATTGCGTTACGGTGCATATCTCAGTCTACGAACTGTAGCCGGTGAGTTCGTAAACCGCACTATGCCACACGGAACCAATTTAGAGAACGGCACCGAATTTGACAGTTTTATTTCTCAGGAGGGAATGAGATGTGAGGACGCAGTAGTGATTATTTGTAGGTGAATTTGAGAAATCTCACTTTGTCATAACAAAAAAAAAGTAAGATGTTCCCTGAAAGTTTATCCAGGCATATTGGACACCCGAAGAGAAAAGTATATAACAGCTGCATCTTTACCGCTACAACGGGGCAGATACCTGACGGCTCATTGGAAAGGTTCAGCTTAACGGGCCATGGAAAGGAGAATGATAGGAGTAATGTTAAAGGACAAAAAGAGTGAGCTAGTCAGGGAAAAGACGAGTGTTTAGGACATCGTAGTTGAAATGAATAAAAATAAAGCGCCTTGGGCTGGCCATGTAGACAGAAGGCAAGATAACCACTTTACGCATTACACACTGAATTTCAAGAAAGGGAAAGCATGGCTACAGGAGTCAGAAAGTTTTGTGTTCAGATGAGATTACGAGGAGGAGGAACAACAACAGAAAACGCAGGGTGGTTAAGAGATTACCAAGTTTGCGAGGAAAACATGGGCGCAGCAAAAATAGGACTGGGTTTATTGTAGAAACGTGAGAAAGGCCATTGCGCTGCTGTGGGCGTAGTCAGGAAAAAGATGGTGATTTGAAAACCCATGTCATAGTGGAAACTTTGTTCCCTTTTCCCCCTTCCCAAAGGTAGCCAATGAAGCAGATCTTTCCGTTAGCCATTCGTTTTTCAAGGCACTGCGCTGTGTCACCTTAAGGCAGACATAAATTAGGTTCCTTGTCTTTCTTTATTTCCTTCTTTCTTTCTTTTCCTTCTTTCTTTCTTTCTTCAAGAACCACTACCACCACCATCATTCGTTTTTTTCGCTCTTTCCCTTGTTTCAAGAGCACTTTTGCCTGAACTATTTTCCTCAAGCACACGAGCGCCCCCAACGGGCACGCAATCGCTCATTGGAAACGTTTGCCGGCTGCAGCAGCCATCGCGACGGGCTCAAGGGCCTCACGTTTTAATTTGCTTTGTGCCGCTCGTTTCAGATCAAGAGCATTTGGCGTAATTCAATCAGCTATAGCTGGGGCGACAGCCTCTCTACTACTTCCATTTTTTCTAGCGTTTCAGTGTGCCACTGCCGGTCAAGCTGAGTGATTGCAAAGCGTGTCTGTTCTTCCCATTTTATTACTTTTTGGCACCAGTATAACCTGTGGCATATATTAAATAAAAAGATGTTACTTGGTACCTAGACACCGCCCAGGAGCGGTCGAAGCAATGCGGGGATCAGTTTGGAATCAACGTCCACCGACACTGTCGACGCAACAGAAGGTGAGGTTCTGATATTTAAAGATTATGCGAGAGAGTATAGTCGTCATTGATAATAATTGTTG